AGCGCTTTTTTGTAAATACACTAACAAAGACTGAGAGTTTTGTCATTTTCCAGAAAAAGAGGGATATTTCAAGTTTCAATTCGGGAGATACGATTCAAAATCTGAGAGAGACTCTCGGGTATATCATGGAAAGTTGAGAGCCACCAAAGGGAGAGCGTGACGGGTGACAATTACCCATAATACATTGCTGGTCACGCAATTACAACAGCTCCTCGGATCGGATAACGAAAAAGAGATCACATCGGACTTACTGTCCAAGTGAAACAATATCGTTTATGTTTGTTTCGTAAAGAAAAAGTATATAAATGAGTTACCTTGGCTTCTTTGGCAGACATTGCGTTGGTCATCGGAGAATACTTGGAAATCCAACATGGCGTCGTCTTCTTTGCACAACTAGGGTATGTTCCATCACGTATTAGGTATCCTTAAAGATTTAATGAAAAATGGAATAACAATCAAGCTACCTCGCATCAGACAGATGATTGCTATAAAGCTTTCTACTGCAATATAATTAATAATTAAAAATAAAATAAATAAAATGTTGATTTAATGCTATGTTCTCGTTTATTTACATTTGTTAAAACTGGAGCCCTCAAAATTTGTACCAAAATAATGATGCATATCCTGTTTTTGCACTGGAATTCCGCAACGTTTAATCAGCATTTTCAATTATACAAAAAAAGGTTTGAATAGAAATAGATTTTTACCTAGTTCTAATTTATATGAACAATGTCAATATTCATGCACATAATCAAAGTTCAACAATTTTATGTATTATTTTAGCAGGCTACAACTGCAGCAGCAGAACTTAAAAGTACTTTTCAATCCATTCTTGGTGAAGATAATGTTTCCTCAGCTCTAGCAGTACGAGAGCAACATGGAAGAGATGAATCCTATCACAAATGTCACCCTGCAGATCTAGTTGTTTTTCCATCAAATACAGAAGAAGTCAGTGAGATTGCTAAAGTCTGTTACAAGAATGGAATACCAATGGTTCCTTATGGCACTGGTACAGGACTAGAAGGTGGAATTGTGGCTGTTAAGGTATCAATGAACTAGGTAGCCCATTGAAATGGTCACAGCAAGTTTTGGAAAAACACAAAATTAAGAAGTGAGGAATATCATTCGGATGTAGAGAAACCACACATTAAAAAGTTATGCTTTCATTGTAAAATAACATTATTATTGAGAATAATTTGATGAAAAAATAGGAAAATGCAGCTTCTCAAATACCGAATTTTTAGAAAGAAATGTACTGTGAGTGTCTACTGCTGGATGGTTAAAAACAAAATCAACTTCTTTGAATGATGGCAGTCTGTCCATTATGCAATATATTGTGCATTTGTGGTGTTTGTCTAAAGTTTCGTTAGTTATTTTCCTTGTATCATTTTCAATAATGTTATCAGGGAGGAGTCTGCATTGACCTAGGAAAAATGGACAAGATTTTAGAAGTAAACGAAGAAGACTTTGATGCAACAATTGAGCCTGGTGTATCAAGGGAACATCTAAATGCCTTTGTCAGAGATACAGGCCTTTGGTTTCCAATAGGTAGGCATACAACCGACTTAACTCATGAATAATTTCTTTTGTTTTGTGTGTTTGTGTGTTTTTGTTGTTATTTTTTTCATGCAGTGAAATATGTGACTTATCCATGATTGTTATTTATATTGATTGAGGGTGTATATATACTCTATTTTGTTGTATTATGAATGATACTATCATTATATGTACTTCAGATCCTGGTGCAAATGCATCTATCTGTGGAATGTGTGCAACTAGTGCCTCAGGAACAAATGCTGTAAGGTAATTGTCAGATTCTCCAAAACAAAACTTTGTATTTGGTATTTCAAGAAACATAGAAAAACAGTATAACCATAATTTGGTATTTAGATATGGGACAATGAGAGAAAATGTACGTAATTTAGAAGTAGTGTTGTCTGATGGAACAATCTTTGACACTGCTGGCAAAGGAAGAAGAACGAGGTAAGTCTGTCTAACAACTGAAAACTACATAATGTGTTAGTTGTACWCTTTAGATTACAGCCCATTCCAACTTATGTTTGCACAGGAAAACATCAGCTGGTTATAACCTGACAAACCTGTTTACAGGATCAGAGGGTACATTGGGTATTATCACTAAAGCAACAATAAAACTGCATGGAATTCCGGAAGCTGTAAGATGATGTCTCTTTTACCTATTCTTGTTGATTATGCTATTATTAGATATTATTCATAATCCATAATAATAACTTACCACCTCTTGTCAATTGATTTTGAGTACTTCCAATRGAATGTTTTCAAATACCAGACAATATTTTCCAGGAAATACAGGGATGGTTTTATCAGTTTTGCTCATAATATTGTTCTTTCAGACTGTAAGTGGAGTTTGTTCATTCCCTGATGTAAGGTCAGCAGTTGATACATCAATAGAAATGCTTCAAGCAGGAATACCAGTTGGAAAAATGGGTAAGCTTCAATCTTTGAAACCCTCATAACATACTTACTGGTTTCTATAAAAATTGCGCGGCTCAACCATCGTAAAAACAGCAACCTCAGCTGTTTCATTTCTTACATTAATTATTCTTTCAGAATTTCTTGACGATGTCCAAGTTGACGCTTGCAACAGATTCTCAGGCCTTGATTATCCCGTTCAACCAGCTCTTTTCTTGGAATTTGTCGGCTCTGAGAGTAGCGTTGAAGAGCAAGCTGTCATTGCTGGTAATGTCACCGTGTTATCAGACTAAAACGTCACTGCGGTTGATTCTTTTAGCTTCATATTTTCATTCACAATTATAAATTTATAACGGTATTTCCTCGACATTTCTCACAAACTGATGGCAGCGACAACTTAACATATAAGAAGCTCCTTTGAGCGACCTAAATGATTAAATCGATCATTGAAGAATTCATCCCTTTTGTTAAGAATGAAGTCTTAGTCTACCAATAACAATGTTGTAGACGGTGAAATTTCAACCTACTTTTAAGTCAAGGAACATAAGTTACTTTTTCTTTATTTCTTTCGCAAAGCTTCACGACTGACTCGCATCCTGAGCTGTCCACTTTGACGATGGACCGACTTGTGAAAAAAAGCGGGAAAAATTTCATCGATGCGCGCACGCTCCAGTCTGGCATGCACTAAATTTTGGCGCGAAATATTTGTTTTCTCGAGCGCTACTAAAACAACATGCTCTTAATTAAACTTCCTTTCACAGGTGAGATAATATCTGGCAATGGAGGATCAGATTTTCAGTGGGCAAAAGAAGCCGAGCAACGAAACAAATTGTGGAAAGCTCGTCACAATGCATGGTACGCATGTTTGGCGCTTCGCCCCGGCTGCAAAGTAAGTCACTGAAGGATAATTTTGGAAATTTCCCATATTTTTATTTACCTGGATGTTCTATAAATTCGCGMTTTGTTTCCCRATAGGGTGTCTCCACTGACGCTTGTGTTCCAATATCAAGGTTGACTGAAATAATTGTCGCTACCAAGGAAGACATTATCGCTTCCAATCTTACGGGTACAGTTTTCCAGTTTTTTCTGACTTTCAGTAATGCAAATATGGATAATGGATGTTGTTATATTTAGCACCCATTGTTGGTCACGTTGGGGATGGCAATTTCCATTGCTTTATTGTTATCGACGACACGAAAGAGGAAGAGATCCAACAAGCTAAAGATTTCACTATGCGGCTGGGAAGGTAATTTTCGACTTCTTGTTTTTTCAGCGCCAATGGTTGGTCACGTGGGAGATGGTAACTTCCATTGTGTTTTGGTTTTTGATCCAAAAGTAAAGGGAGAACTTGAAAATATTAAAGCCTTCTCGGAGAGACTAGGAAGGTAGTACTACATACTTAACAAACTGGCGCGCATCAAATTTAAAGCGGCGTACCTTCGACTCATAAGTTGACAAACCTTTGTTTCAGACGCGCCCTATCAGTTGGTGGGACATGCACAGGAGAACATGGAATCGGTAATGGAAAGCTGAAACTACTGGTGGAAGAAATTGGACCTGCAGGAATCGAAGTAATGAAAAACATCAAAAGGACTTTGGATCCAAAAAACCTTATGAACCCTGGAAAGGTTCTTTATATGTGAAGAAGGAAGTTAGTCACGAAAAACCATTGCATATCCGCGTCGTTCCACGTCGTTCCACGTTAATGACTTTACGAAGTCAATGAGTACAATAAGAGTTTAATGTTACAAAAAAAAATTTATCCACAGCTCGTAATTTTCGCGTTTCTTTCTGCAGTAGAAGACTGTTAACTTGCCAAATTGATCAATCTGGTAAACAGTAATTACTCCATCAACACACTGAATAAATGGAAAATCTATATTTATAGTTATACCTTTGTAAATGATACCAGCTTTTTATAGATTTTAGAAACACTATAGAAAGCTATTGAGAAGTAATGCTATAACTTTATTAATGTTCTCTCTTTTGTTCTGCACCAGCAGACTGTTAACTTGCAGAATTGATCAGTCTGGTAAAATCAGTACTCTATGAACATACTGAATAAATGGAAAATCTATTTGTAGTTATACCTTTGTAAATGATACCAGCTTTTATATATTTTAGAAACACTATAGAAAACTATTGAGAAGTAATGCTATAACTTTATTAAAGTTCTCTAATGATACAGTTTTTATAATCAAATAGCTATATTTTGGGAGGGCTGTGGGTTATTAAAAGTTGGAAKGAATGAGACATACAATTGATATTGTCAAAAAGTTTTAATGTACCTAGAAAGTCATATAAGCTTTGAGTAGGTCAATGCAGGGTATTATAAAACTAAAACAAACTAGATAAAGTATGACATCTTCAAGTATAATTAAAAGATAACAAAATTAAAAGAGGCTTAAATACATGTAATGTTTCTTTCAATAATTTCATCATTATACAGCCACATTTTCTTTATGGTAGTATAATGCATTCTCCTGGCAGTGGATGGCCTAACAATTTGAATAAATTTTATAATAATAGAAATTTGCATTGTTTTCTTCAAGCTTTGTAATATACTCCASTGAAGTGCATTTATAAACCTATGTTAGGAATACTGTGGCATACAGCTTGTTGTTTGATTTAAATCAATAAATGAAAATCCATTTGTGTGAGAGACGTGTTGCTTTGGACTTTCATTCRGTCTTTGTGATACAAGTGATACAGAAGCTTGTAGACTCCTTAAAAAGTAATCACTGTACCCTGAAGTTCTGTAAGTATCTAGTAAGAGCTCCATGTCCTGTAAAAACTGGTGATCTAAGTTTTCTTGCTTGTAAAAAGATGAAAGTTCTGTAACGTCCTCATGCATCTGATGAGTGTAGGGCTCCGTAGTTTGATATCTTGATGTGGTTGTAGTTTTCATAGATCGTATGCATTCTGTTGTTGAATATAACTCTGAAAAAGAAACTCTTGTTAGAGTGCAACATTCAGCATACTTATACTGGAAAATCACCGACCAAAGAAGGCAGCTTTCATGAATGATAAAATATGATTAATAAATTTACATGAAAATAGTATTGCTTTTTCAAACCTTATTCAAATGCAAACGTGATGCAGGTGTGATTAAAAGATGATACATGTTTCATTTTTCCCATTGCAATTTCTACTGGTGATCAAAGAAAAACAGACCATAATACTTACTATACACAAATCGTTCTTTGGCTTCTTTGCTTCCCTTTGAAATTGCAGGTAACTCTCCTTTCATTTCATTTATAAGTAATAATAGCTTGGTGTAAGGCTCATTACTTGATAACATAACTAGAAAACAATGAAACATGCAAGCCCTGAATAATAATAGATTACGAAAGTTCCAGGAAACATAGCCAATCAACATGTTTCTATAATTAACCTTACCAGATCTGTCAAACCAAACACATGCAGCATTTGGAACCTGAGCCACCATAGAACATGATTCAGGGGCTAAAAGTCCATTACAAATCCGAATAGGTGTTGTGAGTCCATTTTTATCATTCTTTCCCAATGCAAATTCCATAATACATTCCTGACAAGTATC